CACCATCCAACCATCCATCCATCCATCCATCTATCCATCCATCCATTCATCCATCCATCCACCCATCCATCCATCCATTCATCCATCCATCCATCCATCCATCCATTCACCATCCAACCATCCATCCATCCATCCATCCATTCATCCATCCATCCACCCATCCATCCATCCATTCATCCATCCATCCAAACATCCACCCATCCATCCATCCACTCATCCATCCATCCATCCATCCATCCATGCACCATCCAACCATCCATCCATCCATCCATCTATCCATCCATCCATTCATCCATCCATCCACCCATCCATCCATCCATTCATCCATCCATCCATCCATCCATCCATTCACCATCCAACCATCCATCCATCCATCCATCCATTCATCCATCCATCCACCCATCCATCCATCCATTCATCCATCCATCCAAACATCCACCCATCCATCCATCCACTCATCCATCCATCCATCCATCCATCCATGCACCATCCAACCATCCATCCATCCATCCATCTATCCATCCATCCATTCATCCATCCATCCACCCATCCATCCATCCATTCATCCATCCATCCATCCATCCATCCATTCACCATCCAACCATCCATCCATCCATCCATCCATTCATCCATCCATCCACCCATCCATCCATCCATTCATCCATCCATCCAAACATCCACCCATCCATCCATCCACTCATCCATCCATCCATCCATCCATCCATGCACCATCCAACCATCCATCCATCCATCCATCTATCCATCCATCCATTCATCCATCCATCCACCCATCCATCCATCCATTCATCCATCCATCCATCCATCCATCCATTCACCATCCAACCATCCATCCATCCATCCATCCATTCATCCATCCATCCACCCATCCATCCATCCATTCATCCATCCATCCAAACATCCACCCATCCATCCATCCACTCATCCATCCATCCATCCATCCATCCATGCACCATCCAACCATCCATCCATCCATCCATCTATCCATCCATCCATTCATCCATCCATCCACCCATCCATCCATCCATTCATCCATCCATCCATCCATCCATCCATTCACCATCCAACCATCCATCCATCCATCCATCCATTCATCCATCCATCCACCCATCCATCCATCCATTCATCCATCCATCCAAACATCCACCCATCCATCCATCCACTCATCCATCCATCCATCCATCCATCCATGCACCATCCAACCATCCATCCATCCATCCATCTATCCATCCATCCATTCATCCATCCATCCACCCATCCATCCATCCATTCATCCATCCATCCATCCATCCATCCATTCACCATCCAACCATCCATCCATCCATCCATCCATTCATCCATCCATCCACCCATCCATCCATCCATTCATCCATCCATCCAAACATCCACCCATCCATCCATCCACTCATCCATCCATCCATCCATCCATCCATGCACCATCCAACCATCCATCCATCCATCCATCTATCCATCCATCCATTCATCCATCCATCCACCCATCCATCCATCCATTCATCCATCCATCCATCCATCCATCCATTCACCATCCAACCATCCATCCATCCATCCATCCATTCATCCATCCATCCACCCATCCATCCATCCATTCATCCATCCATCCAAACATCCACCCATCCATCCATCCACTCATCCATCCATCCATCCATCCATCCATGCACCATCCAACCATCCATCCATCCATCCATCTATCCATCCATCCATTCATCCATCCATCCACCCATCCATCCATCCATTCATCCATCCATCCATCCATCCATCCATTCACCATCCAACCATCCATCCATCCATCCATCCATTCATCCATCCATCCACCCATCCATCCATCCATTCATCCATCCATCCAAACATCCACCCATCCATCCATCCACTCATCCATCCATCCATCCATCCATCCATGCACCATCCAACCATCCATCCATCCATCCATCTATCCATCCATCCATTCATCCATCCATCCACCCATCCATCCATCCATTCATCCATCCATCCATCCATCCATCCATTCACCATCCAACCATCCATCCATCCATCCATCCATTCATCCATCCATCCACCCATCCATCCATCCATTCATCCATCCATCCAAACATCCACCCATCCATCCATCCACTCATCCATCCATCCATCCATCCATCCATGCACCATCCAACCATCCATCCATCCATCCATCCATTTATCCATCCATCCACATACCCATCCATTCACTCATCTATCCATCTATCCTTCCATTCCCTACCCAGTGCTGACTTTTCCAGGCCCGTGTTAAGTCCCGGGGTCACTCAGATGAACTTAGGCCTACCTCCAGTTCCCATCCCTCCCTGTCCCCAGTGCTTAACTGAGCTCCTGGAGTTCCTGGTTCCCACCAGGCAGGGCCAGGGGTCCGCAGGTCAAGAGGTAGGCGGGCCAGCATTCCTCAGGCTTGAGTCAAAGAGGTAAACTGTCAAACCAAGCAGCCCCCTCCCTCAAAAAAACATAATTCCCAGCCAGGCAGCCAAGAATGTACCTGAAAGGGTGTGATTTCTTGGCTTCCTCCCTCCAGAAGTACCCTTTACACCTTTATTGAAATGAGAAAAATGCAGAGCATTCTTGAGCTGCTGTGGCCTCAGGGGAAGTCTTGTGCAGACTGGCAGGGGTGAGGCTGCTAATCACCTGTGCCTGGGGCAAGGAGTCCTCCTCCGGCTGGTTCCCAGGCTTTGGAGGAGGGAGGGGGCAGCATCCGTGGAGGGGACCGCCCTACTTTGAATGCGAGCTACTAAGAAACCGGACTGAGCAAGGGAATGAAGGTGAAGGGGGCAAGGCACCAGCTGCACCCTGCTTGCGACACTGCCTGTGCCTTATGCCTGCAGATGACACCCGTCACACATGTTCTCTCTGCTTTCTCAGTACCAAAGGCTCCATGACAGTAAGGCTCTGTTCTTGAAACCTTTGTAACTCCAAGGGCAAGCACAGCTCCTGGCACATTAGCAGGATCTCAAGACTTTTCTAAGAGACGGATAGATGATGGGTGGTGGATAATGGAGGATGGACAGATGCATGATGGAGGAATGTTGAAAAGTGGGTGGATGATGGATAATGGAAAATGAATGATGAATGGACAGTGGATGGATGGATGGATGGATGGATGAATGCATGCTGGGTGGATGGATGGATGGAATGATGGATGGTGGATGGCTGGGTGAATGGATGGGTGGATGGGTGGATGGGTAGATGGGTTGATGGATGGGTGGGAGGATGGCTGGCTGGCTGGCTGGATAGATGCATGCTGGGTGGATGGATGGATGGAATGATGGATGGATGGGTGAATGGATGGGTGGATGGATGGGTGAATGGCTGGCTGGCTGGATGGATAAATGCATGCTGGGTGGAGGGATCGATGGATAGGCGGATGGAAAACTGAACAGAATTCTGGGATATAAGGAACAGATTTGGGATCCTTCCAAAGTCCCCAATGTAGCAGGCGATTCAAAAGCATGCTTAAAAGGGCCAAGCTTAACTGTGTGGGCAGGAGCCACCCTTTGTGCCCTACGCAAGCAGTACACCCAGGACTTTTGGGCCAGCCCTGAATCTTCAGGAGTCATAGGGCTTGGGCAGACAGGTGCAGACTGGGGAGAGCAATGGCCAGGGGAGAAAGGAGTAGTTCTGCTGCACCCTTCCCCTGAAATCAGGCCAAGTGGCCCCAGCCGGGTTTGCAGCCCTGGGGAGATCCTCACCTGGGACCTGCCTCTGCCCTTGTGATGGGGCTTCAGGTGGCCCCATCACACCTGTCCTTAGACCGGCATCTTTCTTCTGACTGAATCATAGCAGAAGGCTGTGATTACATTTCCATCTTATAAGGGACATAAAACTGAGGTATTGAGAACATGCCTTTCAAGCTGTGGCATGATTTACAAGCTGCCAGGGAAGCTCTCGGAGCTGGGGGACGGGGGCACTCAGTGCGTGTTGCTGCTGGAAGGAGCCCCCTTCCCAGTGGTGGGTTCTCTGTGGGGTGCACGGGGAGCAGAAAGCCGAGAGGTGAAGGAGGAGGACGGTGACCACTGCCCGGCTGGGCCAGGCTCCCAGGCCAGCTACAGTCTGCGTCAGGTCAGGGTGCTGCCCCTTCCTTCCTGTTGAGACTCTGATACCCCCACCCTCCCCCAGTCCCCTTTCCTGTCCTGTCTGGCCCCAAAACATCTTTGTTTAAGCAGAGGGGCTTTCGCTGGAATCGGATGAGCCTGAGCCGCAGGGCTCTCCTCTGCACAGCTGAGAGGAGTGCGCAGGGCTTCTGGGAGCCACAGGGTGTTGTAGACAGGGAGAGAAGGCCGCGAGGTATTCTGTAGAGGCTGTGTTTAGACAACAGGTTTGAGCAATGGGAATTGATCAAGGCAAAAGGCCTACAGGGACGGCCTGACTGAATACAGACCGGCCCATTTCACAATATCCACAAGTCCTATGGGTTACTTACAACGGGGCACAGTTATCAAAAAAGGGAAGGTTCCACGACTTCCTCACCTTCCTGCTTTAAAAACAGCCCCACCCACTGCCTCCTTGCGGACAGTTCCTCCTCTGCTGTCCTGCCCGCTGCTCTCTGGCCAAGCGTTCTAGAAACTTCTGCCTCCTTTGTTGTGTCTGGGGCGAATCCTTTCACACACACTCCCCCCCCTGCCGGCCCCCCAGGCCACCGGCTCCCACCTGATCGTCCACCCCACATTTGGGGGCCCCCACCTGATCCACACTTTCTAGGTGGGCGTTTCTCCGAGTTGCCTGGACAGACTGCAGAGGGAAGGCATCTGAGTGTCCACAGCTCCAGTAACTTCTTGTGATTTGTCTGCATTCTGAATATGCTTTCACATTTGCACCTCATTTTTATTTAATCATTTTGTATTCTTTTCCTTAAAGGGCACCTCCAGTTTGTAGCAACTTGAGTCCTACGAAGCCTGGGCGTGGCTGAGGGTGGGCCCTCAGTTCAGCCACCAGTGTCCCTCTAGGAAGAGGGGAACTGGGTGCAGACACGAGGGAGAAGGCCGTGTGAAGGCGGAGGCGGGGACCGGGTGACACATCTCCAAGCCGACGAGGGCCAAGGATTGCCAGCAAATACCAGAAGCTGGGAGAGGCCTGGATTCGCCCTCAGAGCCACCAGAACCAACCCTGCATGGCCGCCTGGATTTCTGGCCTCCGGAACTGAGCGAGCGTACATTTCT